CCACTTATCTACCAGGCACTATTACCCCCTTGCTGCCCAGGCAAATTTTCAGGTTTCAGCACTGTCGCACTTTGAATGACAATTGCGCGGTCATGCAACATTGTACTCATATGAAATTTGTATATTTTTTTAGACAGAGCTTTCTTTTGTTGGTATTTAATCACCTCTGGGTTTTTTTTTTTTTTATTTTTTTGCTAAACAAACTAATTGAAAATTTTGAAAAAAAAAAGTTTCTTAGTTTCTGTTATAAACTTTTGTAAATAAGTGATTTTTTTCCTTCACTGATGTGCACTAATGAGGCTGCAGTGAAGGGTACTGATAGGCTGCACTGATGGGCACTGATAGGTGGCACTGATGGGCACTGATGAGGAGGCACTGGTAGGTGGTACTGATGGGCATTGACAGGTATCACTGATGGGCACTGAAAGGCAGCACACAATATGGCACTGATAGGTGGCACTGACTGGCAGTAATAGGTGGCACTGACTGGCACTGTTAGATGGCACTGATAGGCGGCACTGACTGGCACTGATAGGCGGCACTGACTGGCTTTGATAGGTGGCACTGACTGGCACTGATAGTTGGCACTGAAAGGCAGCTCAGATAAGCACTTATATGTGGCATTGATGTGCACTGTTAGGCACTGATATGTGGCATTGATGAGCACTGACACGCGGCATTGATGGGCACTGAGAGGTGGCATTGTTGGACACTGAAAGGTGGCACTGATGGGGCTACACTGATCATCAGGGCACTGATCATCAGTGCCCTAATGCTCAGTGTACATGTCCCCTCTGAGGAATGCCGATTACCAGCTCTCCTCTCCTCACGAGCTGTCAGCGTGACAGGTCATGAGGACAGGAATGCCGATAACCGGCATTTCCTTATTTACATGTGAGCAGCTGTGATTTGACACAGCTGATCACATGACAGAACCGACATCATCAGCTCTTTCCGCTGATCGGTGATCTGCAGTGTCCCAGGGACACAGAGCACCACGGATTGCCACGTTGAGCACCCCCGGGGGGGTGCGAACGTGCGGTCAGAGTGGGAGGATGTCATATGACATCCTCCCAGAATGAGAGAACAGCTGCCCATCCATCATTTCCTTATATGGCGGGTGGGAGGCGGTTAAACATTACAAAGAATATAACAGAAAAATGAAATAAAGGCCACAAAAATGTATTAAATACCTTCTTAAGCTCTGTGTATACAAAGGAGCATGAGAGAGCTCTTGTCCATAATGGGCATGGTATTGACACAGCTCCAGATGATCCACATTGGCTCACAATTGATATGATCCAGAAATATTTAGACAGTATAATAAAACACCTGAACCGGATGGCATACACCCACGGGTCCTTAAAGAATTGAGCTCTGTCATTTTAAAGCCATCGTTTCTAATTTTTAGGGACTCTATAATGACTGGCATAGTACCAGTGGAGTATAAAACCAATGTGGTGCCTATATTTAACCACTTCCAGACCGGACACTTTCACCCCCTTCCTGACCAGGGCAATTTTCAGCTTTTAGCGCTATCACACTTTGAATGACAATTGCGCGGTCATGCAACACTGTACCCAAATGAATTTTTTACCATTTTTTTGAGACAGATAAAGCTTTATTTTGGTGGTATTTATTCACCACTGGGATTTGTATTTTTTTGCTATGTAAATGAAATATCCAAAAATTTTGAAAAAAAATAAATAATAAATTCAAATAAATAATATTTAATCATAAATCTTAGCCAAAATTTATTCCGTTATCTTTTTAGTAAAAAAAAATCCAAATTAGTTTATAACCAAAAATTATAATTTTTAAACATTTTGTTTTACATTTTTATTTTATTTTTTTATATTATTATTTTTTATTTTTATTTTTTTCTTTACATACTGTCACCCTAGCAGTACAGTGTCACCATGGTGACACTGTATTACTAGTTGGGGGTGATGAAGATTTTTTTTTTTTTTTTACACTGATTGCTTTTAAACCCATATAGGATATAAAAGCAATCATTTCTCTTTCTCTCTGTGTGCATTCTTGCACTCATTGAGAAGTACTGAGTGAGCTGTGATTGGTCACAGCTTGTCACATGGTACAAGGCTTTTGTGAATAGCCTTGTACCATGTGACCTCTGTGATCATTCACAGATTTCACACGTAGTAAGCAATGATGTCAGAAGTGAAATCTTGCTTACTACTTTGCATGTGATCACTGATTGGCCAATCAGTGATCACATGATCGGGACCTCGTACAGAGGTCCCGTCTGACGATCGGTGTTTCACTGTGTTCGGAGGACACAGCGGGCAACGGATCGTGGTGCCGAGCGCTCCCAGGGAGCGCGCACAAGCAGGGTCACCCGACCCTGTACAAGCAGGGCCACCCGACCCTGCAGTGTCACCGTCCAGCCGTTTATATGCAACGGCCAGTCGGGAAGTGGTTAAAAAGGGGTCAAAATCTTTTTTTCTTTTAAATTCTTTTTATTTGATTTTAGAATTTTTGAAATATACAAAACAGAGCCCATAGGGCATACCCAGGCTTGGTAATACACTTTAACAAGGTTACAAACAGAAGCCAACAATTTACAAACTAACTGTACGCTCAGTCACTGTGTAGGAGTCTGGAACATTCCCTAGACACTCTGTATTAACATGTCTTCCCATAGCATCCTCAGCATGAAGCATTGAGCAGGGTATATCTTTATAAATAATAAACTTTATTTTATATAGCACCGGTAAAGGTAGCTTCTCAAAGAAAACACAAGAAATACCCAGGATAAAGCAAAGGAAAAAAAGAACAATTAAGTGGAAGCTTGTCTAAAGAAAAAAAGTTTTTAGATTTGATTTGAATGAGTTTAGAGAAGATGATTCTCTGATGTTCCTTGGAAGTGAATTCCAGAGAGTTTTGGAGCATAGCAGGAGAAGGCTCTGTTTCCCATTGAGTGTAGAGGAAAGAACAGGCTTTTCTTTTCACAAGACTATTTCTGAAACCTGTTGTCCCCCATCCCCACAATGCATATACAAAAAATGAATGAAGGAGACATCCTCTCAGCCTAGGCAAATTCACCTGACTGGGAGTACAAGGAGTGTGTTAGGGTCTGAAGAAAAAAGCGGAAGCTTTGAAACACGTCACCTGACTCATCACCTGATTTATCCTCGTGTTCTTATTGATGTTGCCTCCAGCCCAGTCTTCTGTGCGTTCCACGGTGGTTACAGCATTCCCGGCTGATGGTTCACATTCACACCAGACCCTCGGTGCCCGGACTCCAGTGGACACAAACCGGCCCCTGCATATGTCCTTTTGGGACCTGATATACTTACCTCAGTTGTGAGTAGTAATTTGGCTATTTGTAATAAAATTGTATTTTATACTGCACTTAGACTGGCGCCTTGTGTTTCTTTTTATATTTCCACAGAGTTTTGCTTCAATCTGTGGGGAGCTGCTGCTATATAGTGCTTATGCCATGGACTCTATGGACTTTTTAATATATGTTTTCTGATATTGCAACCTTATGTTATGGTGTTTATTGTCTTCTCTCATAGCCAATTATCTGTGTTGCTTCCAGGAATCCAACAGAAATTACAACTTTAGGGCTCTGGATGCCATTGAAAGTTATTCCCTTCACCCCCTGTTTGTCTTTCTCATCCCTTTCTGTCCCATTGACAATGGTCATCAGGACAAACAGTGTCAGGAGTGCCCAGATCTATGTAGCTACACAAGGAAACTGGGATCAGACCATAAAAAGAAACAAGAAAGAACAGGGAACAAGGCAGCAGGGTACTGGGTGCAAGGCAGGAGAAAGATTGGGGAAACTGGCAGCAGCAAAATCAAGCTATCAGGCAAGCTAAAGCAAAACACTGATGCATAGTGAACTAGCATAGAAGAGACTTAAGTACCCTCCCAGCAGTTGGGACCAGGTGGAGCTGATTACTGAAAACCGCTGGCTAATTTGGAGACACCCACTGGTGGACACTGAAACTTCGGCTTTCTGTCCAGAGAACCACACACCACCAGCAGGTGGACTAGGTCCTGACAAACAGAGGAAAAATCTCCCAAGTGGGGAAATAGATAGCAATACATTGTTTAGGCAGAATAAAGATGATTAAAGCACCTGGACCAGATGGCATACACCCACGGGTCCTAAAAGAAATGAGCTTTGACATTTCCAGGCCATTGTGTCTAATTTTTAGGGATGATTGGAGTAAGGGATCAAAGTCTTTACCACATAACTATGGACCTGTTATTTTAACTTCTATAGTTGGGAAGATACTGGAGGGTTTAATAAAATACTACATAGTTGAGTTCTTGTTTAAGCAACAGACAGCATGGATTCATGAAAAGACAGAAGTTGTCAAACAAATATGATGTCTTTTTATGATGAGGTAAGCAAAGCTTTAGACAAAGGAGTGGTAATGGATGTAGTTTTTTGGGGATTTTGCAAAAGCGTTTGACACAGTTCCCCACACAAAGGCTAATGTGTAAGATAAAGTCTACAAGCTTGAAAAAATCAGTTTGTAAATGGATAGAAAACTGGCTAAAAGACCGTGTTCAAAGATTAGTGGTTAATGATTCATACTCTGAATGGTCTAAAGTTAGTGGTGTACCCCAAGGTTCAGTGTTGGGACCCTTGCTTTGTAATATATTTATAAATGATATAGGGTCTGGGATTAAAAGTACTATTTCAGTGTTTGCAGATGACACCAAGCTATGCATTGGAATAACATCCTCACAGGATGTCTTCACCTTGCAAACTGACTTCAATGCACTGTTTAACCACTTGCCGACCGCGCATAGCCGAATGACGGCTTCACCGCGGCCGGCCAGTTCTGAGTGGACGTCATATGACGTCCTCCCAGAACGCGCTCTCCTGCGCGCCCCAGGGGGCGCGCACCCGGCGATCTCCGTGATCGCTGTGTCCTACGGACACAGCTGATCACGAGATGTGGTGAAAGGCCGATCCCACCGGCCTTTTACCACGTGATCAGCGGTGTCCAATGACACGCTGATCACAGGAAAATGCAAGTGCCGGTTCTCGGCTGCACTTTCCTCACGCTGTCAGATCGTGAGGAAAGTACTGCCGAGAACCGGCAGTTGTCAGAGCGGGGATCGGCACCGATCATCAGGGCACTGATGATCAGTGCCCTGATGATCGGTGCCCAGCAGTGACCCCCGCAAGTTCCGATCAGCTGTGCGCCCACTAGCCCCGCCCACCCATTCCCAGCGGTGCCCCCACCTGTGCCCAGCAGTGCCCCCACCTGTGCCCAGCAGTGCCCCCACCTGTGCCACTCTGCAGTGCCACCTACCTGTGCCCAGCAGTGCCACCTACATGTCACCAGCAGTGCCACCCACCTGTGCCCACCCACCTGTGCCCACCAGCGCCACCCACCTGTGCCCACCAGTGCCACCCACCTGTGCCCACCCACCAGTGCTGTCCACCAGTGCCACCCACCAGTGCCAAATAAGGTTTAATATTGATAAATGTAAAGTTATGCACTTGGGGGCTAAAAATATGCATGCATCATACATACTAAGGGGAGTACAATTGGGGGAATCAATGGTGGAGAAGGATCTGGGTGTTCTGGTAGATCATAAGCTTAATAATGGCATGCTGCGGTTTCCAAAATGAGAAAAATCACTTTACCCCTGTACAAATCATTAGTAAGACCTTATCTGGAATATGCAGTTCAGTTTTGGGTACCAATTCACAAAAAGGATATTGGGGAACTTGAGAAAGTGCAGAGAAGGGCAAACAAACTGATAAGAGGCATGGAGGAGCTCAGTTATGAGGAACTGAATGTATTCTCTCTTGAGAAGAGGGGGTTAAGGGGGAATATGATCAACATTTATAAATACAGTATATACGTGGTCCATATAGTGAACTCGGTGTTGAGTTATTCACTATAAGGTCATCACAGAGGACTAGGGGAACTCTTTACATCTGGAAGAAAAGAAATCTAATCTGCGAAAATGTGGAATAGACTCCCTCAAGAGGTGGTTCTGGCTAGCTCAGATTGTTTTAAAAAAAAAGGCCTGGATTATTTTCTACGTAATATAACTGGATACTAATATGTGTAGGTAAAGTTGATCCAGGTAATATCTGATTGCCTCTTGGGGAATCAGGAAATATTTTTTCCCCTGCAGGACCAACTGTTGGTTTAGGATTGTGTATATAGGATTGCATTTTTTTCCCATTTATTGGTTGAACTAGATGTCTTTTTTCAACTAGACTAACTATGTAACTATGTATTAGAAGAGAAATAGTACAGTGGTGGGTTCTAACACATGTGATCACTTTGATTGGCTGACACAGTGGTCATTTGATCCAGAGCCAGTCCCTAGCATTAGTCTGAGACCAGGAGCTCTCAGTGACAGCTTAATTAGAACAGAATTTAAAAAAAGAATAGAATAAAATAGAATAGAAAAGAATAGAGTAAAACAGAACAAAATAGAGTAGAAAATAAAAGAATAGAATAGAAAATATAGGAATAGAATAGACTAGAAAATAGTAGAATAGAACAGAAAATAATAAAATAGAATAGAAAAGAGTAGAGTAAAACAGAATAGAATAGAAAATAAAAAAGATTACAATAAAATAGAAAATAAGAGAATAGAACAAAAAAGAAAAGACTATAGCCGCCTTTCGGAATTTGAATTTCAAAAACAATAGAATAAAAAATTAATTAAACAAATTTAACTAAATTAAATTATTTAAACAAAACTGAAATTAAACAAAACAATGCTCCCAGCACAAACACATGCTCTGTGTATATATATATATTTATTACAAAAGGAGTGTAGTTTGACCGCACCCCTGACTAAACCATGCAGCACCCTAGAGTACAATGTGTGAAGAAGAGCTTCTCTAGAATATTTGACTGCTAGTGTATCACAAGACATGGAATGAATGCTAGTCAACAAAGAAATGGTTCTCCACTGTAATAAAGCCATTAATGCAACTCAAGCCAATAATGGCTGCAAATTTGTTGTCTGCAATATTTACCTGACAAATTCTAAAAAAAGAACAGTTCTAATCTAAAAGTTGGCTGAAAATTGTTGTGGCAGCTTATATTTGTGGAGATGACCATTTTTCTTAACCTTATTCATCATGTCAGTGTTTGTAAGTATTCCTTTGAATTGGGCAATTTATCTCAAGTGTATCTTGACTCCTACATTGATTGCCAGTAGCCATAATTATGAATATAAATGTTTTCAACAAATTATCTCAAGTTTTAAACCAATTATGCACCATATTTTTATGCTAGTTTTATTTTATTTCCAACGGTTTGTAACATCCTTTCTCAACCTTTTCAACTCTGGAGAACCCTTGAAATAACATTCAGGTCTCAATTAATCTCTGATGAAAATGATACAGTATACAGTATCTAAAGCACATGGTACATTTGCAAGGATAGTGAGTTGTAGATTTTGTAATAAATGAATAATGACTACTCTAGGCATACCTAGAGTGTTTGACACCCAAGGCAGATCATTTTTAACCCCCTTGCTCTATAGCACAAAATCATTTTCAGTATTAATCATCATTAAAATTAAACAAATAATAATAATGCACATAAAAGAAATTGAAGCAGAACTTAATGCCCAACTCTGGGCAAATAAAAAAAGTATCCCCTACAGTGGGACTGCAGGGCTGTGCTATAAAATAATATTGTGTTCCATTGCTTTACTATGAGATTTCTTTCTTGTACTTATCAACAAACTTGTCTATTATGAAAGTATTAAAAGTTTAATGTAATGAAAAATGTTGTCTGATAACTTTATGGAGTAAATACACCTGTAGTGCCACCCCCATAAGCGCTTGTCCCCAGTGGTTGCCCTGACCTTGAAAGCCTCCTAATACCTCTGACACTCAGGCATATTTCAACAGTATAGGATAGTAATGCAAGAGACACAATTCTTTAGTAACACCTCTATATTAGACTTGTTCAAAAGAGTAGACCACAAGAATAATGGGGTTAGGATATACAACCCCAGTTAGCACATAAAAATAGAACACTAGTAAAAAAAAAATCAGTTAGCAATGTTTAACAAATTATACAGTCAGTAGGCGTCAACTATTAAACTACAACACCAGCATTAAGAGTGAGAAGAAAAGGCTTGTTGACCAGCTTCCTCTAGGCCACTGGCACCTGAAAGGTAGCTGCAGAGAATTATGTAAATGTATACTCTGAAATAAATAGATAGAAGTATCCTAATTTGAATAATAATGGTCTTATAAGAGAAGAGGTCCCTTTAAGTAGAGCTTGTAACTTGAGTCCTGTGATGTTTAAAGTTCCTGATATGGTTGTGTCTGTTGTCTCCTGCTAGCAATGGTGGGGCCTATAAACAGCAGTGAATACTGATAGTTTCAGAAAGGTAAACAGATTGTCTGTGGTATTGTTCAATGCAAAGATCTCTTGGTACTGAGGTGTAAAGGTGTCTGCATGCAGTGTCTCTAGAGTGATAACAGAAAGAGATTGGGCATCTGTCAGGTCACCAATCCCATGGATAGCATGGCCTCCTAGGAACAAGAGTTTTTACACAGGCTCTTTTCTGTTTGCAGGGATGTGCAAAGATGTTTGTGTGAAGACTGGTTAGTGACAGTCTTGATGCAGAGATCAGTGTCACTGCTGTGCTGAACTGATGTGCAGAGTCCCTCACAGTAGGCAAACAATCTGTCTCTGGAGGAGAACGGCATCCCCCCTGTGTTCAGCTCTAAATCCCACTCCAAGGGAGTGAGCCAGCATCTTGCTATAGAATATATCTGCAATATATTTTGAAGCAAAGCAAACATAATGTGTAAACAGGAATGTAAGCTTACCATTTTATTTAATGACAGGGGCTTTGATTGGCTTTAAAAAAGCATGTGCCAATGCCACATTTTGAAGTGTTAATGAGCCCTTAAAGTGATTATAAAGAGTCATTTTTTTTCATTTAAAATAAACATGTCATACTTACCTGCTCTGTGCAATGCAATCCTCCTCTTCTTGGGTTCCCTTCCTGCGCTCCTGGCTCCGCTTCTTCATCCAGTGCCCCGATAGTAAGCCACTTCCTATGGGGGCATTCATGCGGGCTTGCTCCCCAGCCCCACTGTCTGTGTCCATAGACAGCACACCCCAGGCTCCCTCATCACAGATTTTGATTGACAGCAGTGGGAGCCAATGGCACTTACTGCTAAGAATCTGCCCTGTGAAGAGAGACAGAGCTGGGAGAGCTGCTGCTCTCCTGCACAGCACTGGATTGTGATGGGACTCTGGTAAGTATAATGAGGGACTGTGGTGGGGGGGGGGGGGTCCCAGGCACAGAAGATTTTTTACCTTAATGCACAGAATGCATTAAGGCCTTACAACCGCTTTAACTGCAGAATTCAATACTTTTCACTGTACACATAATATAAGGTCCCCATACCTATTCTATCATCAAATACATTGGTATTATTCAATTATCAGGCCATGAATCGGTCACAGACTGGTTTATAGGCTAACAGAGTTTAGAAGTACTATAAATGCTTATAATTACATTTTTATATCGCTTACAGGCTATAGTTTAAAATGGCTTGTAGGCCTCATGAAAAATTGCAAAAACTATGAAGGCAAAATTAATGGAGTTTATTAAACATAACTTCTCTGGTGGCAGCAATTCATGCTGGGTCAGTTATTAACATGACAGAAAAAAATCCTATTACCTTCTTTCACATGTATTAAAGAAGGTTAGCCATTCAGCTAGCATTTTCTCTTTCACCAGAGCAACTGGAAATATGCACCTTTTTATCATAGACCTCAATAAGGAGTCAGCAACTGACTGCAAATAAGCAATGTGGCAACTGCTGGGCAAAAGAGAAATGATTGTCCAGGCCCCAGTTCCAGAATCTTTTTATCATCTCAACTGTGGTCTGCTTTTATCATCATCTTTTATCAAGGGCGCAATTACATTTTGGGAGTATGAATGTAGACGTTCCCTTTAAAACAATGAAAGTAGTTTAAGGGATTTCTGTTCTTTCATGTTTTTCCTGTGATCTGTTTTAGATTTAGTATAGAAAAAAAATTATGAACGCACTCATATAAAATTGACTTAAGAGAGTTGATGCTCAAAACCAATATTAGGAGGCAATAAAATATGGTCACACTTTACAGTATTTGCAGCTCTACTGCTTATAGAATTAAATGTGTTTTCTTTCAGAGCTTAAAGTAGATACTATATAAGCGAAAGGGGCACAACCTTTGTAATACCTCTCCAGCTTTGCTTTGTGCTTCATTGGTCCATAAAATGAACTATCTATGCTATCTATGCCCTGAACATAGTCTATGTGTAAGCTAGACATTAAAAAATA